GGAAATTTACTTTTTCTTTTTTTTCCTTTTTTAGTTTAAATCATCCACGGTAATAACAAAAAATTAAATTTTACTTTTGATGAGAAAAAGGAAACTACATGATAAGTCATACAGTTATTTAATTTTAGAACTTGAAGCCAAGAAAATTTGTGGGCATTATTTAGGGACAATGGAAAGATTAGTAGTCAATATTAACTCACAGAAAATTTACAGATCACTTAATAATACTTCTATTAGTTATCTAAAATGAATATGTGCTAAGGAAAGGACACAGTCTTAGTTTGATTATCTAAGAAAACTTATAGAAAAAAATGAGGCATGTTTATAAACATGGAAAAATAACCGACGTGAGAATAGGAATGTCCATAAAAAATGAATGGGATATAGACTAATAAATGATCTAGCACCATTTTATACAGACTTCAAAGCCAATAATAAATTAAGTAAGTCAAAGGAATGAAGTGAGTAAAATAGATAGAACCATTTAAAAGCTATGGCCTACCAGGTTCACTTAAGGAAAGAGAGGGAATAGGATGTCACGGGTGAAGGAGGCAACAGAGGCTATTTCATAATGTTTCTTGAGGAATGGAATATAGAAAGAATTTTGGAATAAACTCTTAGAAGGGAAATTGAAGTCAAAAGAATGTAGGCTTAGGTAGAATCAGCTAGAACATAAACATATTCTTTGTAATATGTCATATATCTTTGTAATATTTAATCTCATATATATCTTTGTAATATTTCTTATATTTCTTTTATTTTGATAAACTAATCCTCTTTGCTATAAATTTTACGGTCAGGTGAGCTCAGTTTTTTAGACATCTACTTTTCATTGACATTTATCTCCCACCATCCATCACTACCTCCTACCCCTTTTTTTAAAACCTGAGAGGCCTAATTTCTTTTCTCTGTGGGGCAATGCTCCACGTAAGAAAGGTTCCTCTTCTCTGCTTATGTCTAATAAATTCTTTCATATTTAGGTTTATGTCCTTTTTTCTAATTCTACCCTTTATAGAAAGACAAATTTCAGTTTTTATATAAAACCATACATACAATCTACTGTTAATTCACCACGCAACTCTCTTCTTAGGGTAACTAATCCTAGCTTCTCACTTAACTTTTAGGAGGCAGAACAGTACACTGGTTAAGAGTAGAGGCTCCTGGGCCGACCCCGTGGCTCACTCGGGAGAGTGCGGTGCTGGGAGCGCAGCGGTGCTCCCGCCACGGGTTTGGATCCTATATGGGGATGGCCGGTGTGCTCACTGGCTGAGCGCGGTGCAAGCAACACCAAGCCAAGGGTTGTGATCCCCTTACCGGTCACAAAAAAAAAGAGTAGAGGCTCCCAATTCAGACTGACCAAAACTTTAGTCCCCTTCCACTTAC